CACAAACATGGCTTAGAATCTGTAGTTATGCAGATGAGTCACAAATCAATTTCTCAGATGAACACCTGTGACCCTCCCTCCAATCCTGCATCTCATCATATCTTTCTGACATCTCTTTGTGGATGGCCAGCTGGCAATTTAAGCTCAACATGGCCAAAACTGAATGTTTGAGCTTCCCCCATATCTCAAGCATCCTCATCTCCCCAGTTTCTCAGTCACCATGGATAACACCACCATTCTCCCAATTGCTCAGGCCCATGGTCTGGATATCATCTTTGACCCCACCCTCTCTCTAGACCAGTGGTTTTCAACCTGTGGTCCACGGACCCCTGGTGGTCTGCAGACTACGTCTAAGATTTCAAAAGGGGTCTGCTCCTCCATTTGAAATTTTTTTTAGGTGTCCACAAATGAAAAAAAGTCTGAAAATCACTGCTCTGGATCCACACATCCAGGCCATGTCCAAATCTGATGTTTCTATCTATATAATATTTCAAAAATTCAGCCTCTTCTGTCTGTCCAAACTTGTAAGGCATTTGTTCAGGACTTCATCATCTCATGTCTTGACTACTGTAGCCTCCTCTTTCCTGGCCTTGAATTCTGCTGCATTGCCCCCATGAAGTTAAATTCATGGAGGTTAAGTCAATTAATGGCTATTAGCCAGGATGGGTAAGGAATGGTGTCTCTAGCCTCTGTTTGTCAGAGAGGGGTGATAGATAGCAGGAGAGAAATCACTTGATCATTATCTCTTAGATTCACTCACTCTGGGGCACCTGGCATTGGCCACTGTTGGAAGACAGGATACTGGGCTGGTATGACCCAGTACGGCCGTTCTTATGTTCTTATGAAGTTCATTCAAAACACTGTTATTAAAATAATCTGTCTAGCTCATCACTCTTACCACTTTTCATCTCTCCACTGGCTCACCCACCACTCAATGCAGCAAACACAAATTCATTGCCCTTAATTCCCAACACAATTTAAAACCATCCTACCTATAAACTACTAGTTTGTTGAACTCCATCTTCACTCTGCTACTGGTGGCAGCCTTGACTACATGTGTCTCTGCTTCTCCCACAAGCACCCTGTGCTTTTTCCCATGCTGCCCCCTAGGCATGGGGAAATCTCCCCAAACTGCCGAAAACCTATCTCTTTGTGTAGTCCTTTGTCTGTGTCAGAGGAAGACTAGGGGACTGGAAATACTGCAGGCCCTGAAACATGAACAGAAGTAAAAACCAATTATAGACTCTTTCCGTGTGTATCTTTCCATTACAGCCAAAATGAAGGAAAGGAGCTATGAATTTTATATACCCCGCCCCTCTCCCCAATTCCAATATTACTGAAAAGTGTGAAATAATCAGACCACTCACATGTGCTCTCAGACTTAACTTCACCTTAATTACATTTTTGTATGGGGATTTCCTTAGCTTCCTTTTAAATATGGACTGAAGCCTTACAGAGGTCTTTTTCTCTGGGGGAGAAGACATTGGTGGTCATGGACCCATCTCCCCTTTGGTATGGGAGTCCTGTTTATCATAGACTCATAAGATTTCAAGAGGTCATCTAATCCAGTACCCTGCATTCATGGCAGGATTAAGTATTATCTAGACCAGTGGGCCATATGTATTCATAGAGTCTAAGATGAAGAAGGATACATGATAATTTAATCTGACCTTCCATATCACATAGGACATAGAACTTCCCCAAAATAATTCCTGGTTGAACTAGAGCATGTCTTATAAAAACACCCAATCCTGATTTCAAGATTGCTACTGTTGGAGATCCCAACATCACATTTAGCAAATTGTACCTATAATCAATTACTCTCACTGTTAAAAATTCATGCCTGATTTCCAGTCTGAGTTTGTCTAGCTTCAACTTTCAGGCATTGGTCATTTTATACCTTTCTCTGTTAGATTGAAGAGTCCATTATTAAATATTTGTTCCCTGTGTAAGTATTTATAGACTGTTATTAAGTTGTCCCTTAATCTTCTCTTTGTTAAGCTAAATTGATTGAGCTCCTTGAGTCTATCACTACAGGGCATGTTTTCTAATCCTTTAATCATTCTCATGGCTCTTCTCTGAATCCTCCCCAATTTATCAAAATCCTTCTTAAACTGTGGACAACAGAAATGGACACTGTATTTCAGCAGTTGTTGCACCAGGGCCAAATACAGAGATAAAATAACCTCTCTACTCCTACTTGAGATTCCCCTGTTTATTCATCCTAGCATCGCATTACCCCTTTTGGCCACAGTATCACTCTGGGAGCTCATGTTCAGTTAATTATCCACCAACACCCTCAAATCTTTTCAGAGTCACTGCTTCCCAGGATAGAATCCCTCAGCCTGTAAGCATGGCCTGTCTTCTTGGTTCCCAGATGAATACATTTCTATTTGGCTGTATTAAAATGCATGTTGTTTGCTTGCACCCAGCTTACAGAGTGATCCAGATCGCTTTGTATCACTGGCTTGTCCTCTTCATCATTATGAATGTGTGATATGTGTGTGCAGCAGCAGAGGGAACGAGAGCAAGGAGCAACTTTTTACATCCTAATGGCTTCTACAGTGCTACCTAATGGGCTGGGAAGAGGAGGCTGAGCTGAAAATGTTGATGGTGGTGATGGAGGAGTACTTGTTTTGGGAGGGGGTGGAGATGGAGAGACACAGACAAGTCCTCTCTCATTCACATAAAGTTGTTACATAGAACAAACGTGTCAGGATTGGGGACAGAGACCATGTCTGAGTTTTCTCCCATTGGCCCTATTAATATTTGCAGATGCCAAACATTTCAAAGCGTGACCATTATCCCCATTTGACTATAACCAAATGTACGGGGAGAAGGGAGGAGCACTGAGCAATCACATAGCAACTATGTGGCCTACTAGATATGTGGGGGGCTGACTTGGTAAACTGCAAAGAGTAAACGCTGGCTTGCAAGCTGCTAGCAGAAGTCGCATAACAGGAAGCCCCATAACCACAGCTTGCAGGTGAAACGGCTAAATGCTCAAGTCTGCCTAGTAAGGGCCGGCAGACTCAAGCACAGAAAGTCCCGTGACGCAAGCACACCTGCAAAAGATCAAACCCAAGTACTCAAAACCAATCCCCATAAGGCAAAAAGGCCATGTCAGGAATAAACAGTGAACAGGGGCGGAGAATTAGAGGACGCTTATTGGGTCAAGACCGAGGCCAGTGCTGCCTGCCTGGGTTGGGAGAGGGCTATTGGTTAAAATAAAGGGGAGGTGCAAACGGATATCTGGGCTCACTCCTCGGGATGTGCGGGAGGTAAATGAGCGGTACAGCTATGCTTCTGCAGGGTGTAGCTGAGCTTCTGCTACAATAAACGCTACCCATAACCGAAGACTCCAGTCTCCGTGTGTTCCTGTGAGTGCGTTGGTCATGCCTGAAATGCATAACGGACTCCCCAACAGGATAGATCACTGGACTGGCACTATTCCCAACTCTGCCACTGGTCTGCTGGACGCCCTTGGGCAAGTCATTTTGCCTCTCTGTGCCTCAGTTTCCCTTCTGTAAAATGGGGATAATGATTTAAAGTTTGTTGAAATCTGCTGATGAAAAGCAGTATATAAAATCTAGGTGCTTTAGTTATAAGCTAGCCCCAGAAGTGTATCAGCTACAAATCTATGTGAGAGCTACAACTGCCTGAATAGCCACTAACTCCTAACATTTCTCTCCCTTTTCAAAAAACTAGGAAATTCACTGACAAAAAACCTTTTCAAAGTATCTCCTACCCTTCCAAAATGCTGTGTACAGCAAATCTCAAACCTCTGAAAAGCAGGAAATCCAGATTTAAGATACAGCCCACACAACCTTAACCCTGCCATGTTTGAGCGACGACCCAATATGCTCACAGCTCACGTACTCACCTGCTGTCTTTGCAAACGGTGCATCTCGCTCAGGGACTAGGGCTCTTGACAGCTGTAGCACAGACAAATGCCTTCTCTTTGCTAAGGCAAAACTTGTCTTTAGATGAGCTGAGCTGACCAGGAGCTACCTATGTCCGTTCTACATCCAAACTCTTAGCTTGCTCCCCACCAACGATCCCACACTTGTTACATTTTACAACCCTTTATCCCCATTTACAGCCCCTTCCTCGTTACTCACAGGATTCCACCTACTACTGTACTTTCACTTACCCTTCCTTAAACCCACAGATTACTCTCATATCCCACCCCACTGTTGACAGTCTCCATGCACCGCCACGGACACAACTGACACAACCCAATGCTGAAATGATGCATACTGGAGCCCTCAAGGTGCACATGTACCTCTTGTCTTTGATCATGCACCTGGGAGGCTCAGACCAGATCTCCTCATATTACAGTCACTGCTCTTTGATGCTTCTCACTCTAATCCCCAGATTTCCTTGTACCACAGTCACGTCTCTACCAAGCTGTTCCAACTAATCCCTCCACCACTCAGTACAGCTACACCTAACACAGTGAATGCAGCTGGAGTGCATGCCAATAATTCCCAGTGACTATTGCTGCTTCAAGGCAGGTAGAGTTAAGGTTGTATAGGCGTGTACATTTCAGTAAGGTCATTCCAACTTTCATGTTACATTTCTATTACATTATCATATGAATTATTTGTAATTTGTTTAATTCATTATTTCAATGTTTTTGAAATCAAATATTTAATTTACAAAACATTGAAATAATATTTCAGAATATTTCCTTTCACAAAATTTTTGAGATTTGAAAACTTTTGCCCTGAATTAGGCCAAAACAAATTTCTATGTCTGGATTTGGGGGTGGGGGGTGGGCTGGGGGGATGGAAATTCCATTTTCCAGCCATTCCTAGCCACAATTAAGTATGCCTATACAATTTCAGGTGCAAAGTTAGGGGCCAGTATTCAAAATCAGGTCCACATTTTCTTCACAATTTTTAGTAAAGTGTCTTCAAAATCTGTCATTCACATTTCTCTTCTTTTATATTTAATTTTCGGCCATAATCCTTTCCAGTTTAAAGGCAGAGGGGCAACTTCATATTTGACACAAAGGTATTCAAACATGGTTGTTGACGTTTCTCTTATATCTGAATATCTGTAGTACGTTCTTCTGTGGAAAGGTTCGTCTAGATTTTAAATACAATTGTTTTTCAACAGATATTTCAACTAAAAATGGAAAGCTGGATAAAGAAAGAACAAACCGACGGTAAGGAAATAACAATCAGGGCTCTATCCTGTCCCTTCTTTGCCCTTAATTAATATAAATATAAATACTTAAAGGTTTACTGTCTGCAGGTGAGCTCCTTCCCCTTTGAGATTATTGTTCTGCACTGACTGTTGATGCAAATATCTGAAATAAGGGTAAGAACCCCTAGGAACAAGGTCAGAAGTGTAGCAGGAGCTCGTGACACAAAAGAGGTTTTAAAACGGGTTTTTATAGTTGGGGACTTTTTTATAATCGTTACTGCCCAGGGGTATAAAGGCTGAAGAGCCAAGGACAGTGCATGCAGCCACTCTGAAAGAGACTCTCCCTCACCCAGACTGTCAGTGCACCACATTCCCGACCTGCCAGGAGCACTGCTGTTCCAATCCTGTCTCCCCCAAGTGTAGAGATGGCCCAGACTGCCTGGTCTTCTGGGATGTGGACCAATGTCCACTAGTGACTCTGATGAGGCCAGTAAACCAATGATCACTAGACCCGAAGCTAAACTCTCAGAGGTGAGAAGTTAGTGCCCTAAGATCCTGATCCAACTCTTAGTGAAGTCAGCGGAAAGATTCCCAGTGTGGAGTGACTTGAATGGGAGTTGGATGGGGCCCTACATCACTCTGCCATTCAATTCCAAAGTGAAAATGTCTTAATCTCTGCACATTTCAAATGTCTATAGCTGTATAGGCAGAAATCCTCAAACCTACCCACCTCTACTTGGTTTTCTTTGTAATGTCATGTATATCTCACACGTTCCCAACAGCCCCAGGGGATGTCGGCCGCTACACTGGGGAATCAGAACTGAGAATCATCCTTGTTGGTAAAACTGGAGCTGGGAAAAGTGCAACAGGAAACACCATCCTTGGCAAGAAAGTGTTTGAGTCCAGACTTGCAGCAAAGTCTGTAACTGCAAAATGCAGTAAGGAGACAAGCATCTGGAATGAGAGGAAGGTGGTGGTGGTTGATACTCCTGGCATTTTTGACACACATGTACCAATGGAAGAAACTTGTCGAGAGATCAGTCGCTGTATTGTAGTCTCCTCCCCAGGGCCCCATGCTATCGTTCTAGTGGTGCCACTGAGCCGGTACACTGAGGAGGAAAAAAAAGCAGTCAAACGAATAAAAGATATTTTTGGAGCTGGATCCATGAGGTACATGATCCTGTTATTCACTCGGAAAGATGATTTAGAA